GCAGCATTCACAGTGTTCAAAGGCAGCATTCACAGTGTTCAAAAGCAGCATTCACAGTGTTCTTGGCTTATCTGGAGCATTTGTACGACAGCCGGTTAATGTCTGTGGCCTCGCTTTTCTTCTCTTACTCATCGACACATCAGTATGGAGTTTCATATGGGTTATACCTATTTTTATATATTTATTTATCATAGTGGTGTGGGGGGTTCAGTCGCTGTTATTGCCCCCTCTCACGATATGACCTCCTGCCACAAACACAGCGGCTGCATAACCATGTGTCTCTGTGGTTTGCCCATGACTGCGGGTTTACTGTGTCTGTATAACGTGCAGACCCCTCCCATCTGCATCACAGCAGCTACGCTCAGCTTCTGTCTGAACAGAACAGATTTGTGATTTATATCAGAGCACCTTCAGTCGCTGGCTCAGCCCACCTCAGTGAGCTACGCAGCACTGCTGTGGATGCAGCCTGCCTGCCATCAGACAGCACAGCACCCCCACCCCCCCCCCAGCTGGAAGCACAGCAGGAAGGGACCCATCGCTGACAAATTCATATTTGTTTAGTTGTACATACAATGTATCTACTGTTAATTAATTTCCTGAATGATATTCCACTTCCGGAATATTCTATTTGTGTACTGTGTATTGTTTAAACTTGTTTTTATCGGTGCATTTTATGTTCCTTGCTACTCTATGCACACGAATTTCCCCTTGGAGTCAATAAAAAAATGCATCATATCTTACATGAACGTGTTCGTGTTCCTTTAGCTTGTGTTATATTACCAAGTTACTAGTGTATCTAGTCGTACAGCACATGGATGTTTAAGTAAGATGACGGAAACAAGGGAGCCACACGACAGACTTACCGCACAAGCCCTGCGACTTCACCGTCTGTCGCTCAGCACACTGTCCTTTGGAGAAACAGCCAGTCCTAAGTGCCTCACAATGGGCACAAGGCTTTCAGCAGAGAGGTGACTTTCTGGTTTACTATGAGTCTTCAACACTGACCGTACAAACTGAACTACATCAGTGTTTTCCACTGTGGGTGCAGAATATCACCAAGGATATCCGGCGTTCCGGATGATGAATCCAATTTGACTCAAAGACAACTAACTATCATTGCCTTTGCATCCTTGCTGGCTCGCAGACAAATTTTATTACACTGGAAATCTAGAAATCCACCTAAGGCATCGCAGTGGCTTCGGGATCTGATGTTATACCTACATCTAGAAAAGATTAAATATTCAATTAGAGGTTCTCATAAATTCTTCTATGTCTGGCAACCCTTATTATTGTATTTCACTGCTATAAAGGTACTTCCTTGACATTGTAACGTTCCTGACTATGGTATCCAGTTTAATTTACCAATTCATGTATTTTAATTTTTTTTCCTCTTTTCTTTTTTCTCTTTTTTTTTTTAAACTATTGCATATCCATCTTTGTTGTGTACTAATCTGTTTCATTATTAATATTAGGTAGTATGTTTGGGGTTGGTTGGGGAAGGGTTTAAAATGTAACAATACAGTCTCTGTACAAATAATAGCATCCGTCTTTGGAATAAAAAAATAAAAAATAAATAAATAAAGAATATCACCAAGGATGCCTCTGACATTAGCGAGGGGGGTACAAGCATACAAACCCACTACAAGTATGGAGATCGACCTCCTCTGAAGGGTGAAACACACTCAGGCACAACAGTGGAGGAGAGAGCTGGATATTGAGGGGAGCAGCTAAGTGCAAATATTTATAGGAGGGAAGGAAGGGTCCTGGAGATGAATGAATTCAAATGAAATATTGGGGGTACAAGTTCCCCCCGGTTCCTATGCCCCTGTTTAGGCACCCATGTCAATCTGGGTCCGTTTTCAGTCCCATTCCCAGTCCAACGATTGCATAAAGAATACAAATGTTTTTATCAATGTAAATTTAAAAAGCAGCTGCGGGCAAAGTACTGCTCCAGAAAAATGGGATCAAGCTTTTCATGTTTACAGGACGTTTCCCTAAGCTTCCAATATCCCTGACGACCTCCAAGGAGATCAGGAACCTGCTCTCAGGAACCTGCTCTCAGGAACCTGCTCTCAGGAACCTGCTCTCAGGAACCTGCTCTCAGGAACCTGCTCTCAGGGCCCATTGCATTGGTTCCCAAGCTGCAGTCCCGCCCACCCAAGTGCGTCTCATTTAAAAAAAAATAAAAAATCAGAGTCAGAGGGCAGCAATAATTTCAGTTTAATTTACTGGAGACGTGCAGGTATATCTGTGAATGTTCCGGTCTCCCAATTGTGATATTCACAGCAACACTGTGAAAGCGATTACAATTCACAGGTCACCATTGCAGCTCCTATAAGGACCACATACAAGTCACAGAATTTAATTATTTACATGTGAAATAATTCCAAATATGCAGCACAGGAATTTTACAGTGTCACTTAAGGGTTAGGCTCATCAAACAAGTTTCAACATCTTTCCTCATGCGGTTTAATTTCCAAGTAGGCCAACTGGCCTGCCTGCTTACCGCGGGAGTAGCCGTGACCTTTGCTGGCACTTTCCCGCTCCTCCAGGAGACGTGGCTGGCCTTTGGCGGATCGCAGACAGACCCGACGCCTTAGCCCAGTGCATCACGTAGCATCTTTTGTGCCAGCAGCGAGCCCCGAGCCATTGACGCTCAACGACCGCGTAAGGTCACTGTGCAGAAAGTGCAGGATCAGTTTTGGAACACGGGAAGTAACACTGAGAGCTGCTGGCATGGCCAGAAGTGAGGAGGGTGACCGCAACATGTGCCCAGAATTTACGCAAAACACCAAGAGCGCACGTAGGCCACGAAGAGCAAGGGGGGGAGCCCCTCCCTGAGAGAGGCATTTCAGCAATGCTACACATGGCTGTTGGTTTTCTGCTGTAATACCTCACCTGGTTTTGAAAATGACAGAAAACCACACAGCCAGGGTGGATAAAAGAACAGCTGCAGCCTAGGGCCCTGGCAAACATCAGAGCCCTGCCCCACCTCGAACAAAAACGAACGACTGGTTAAATAGCATCCGATTGCCCATGCTGATGTCAGTCTAGGACCCCCAGAGAATTTAATCCACCTCTGCACACAGCAGGAGCCTCTGAAATCTGCTGGGTCCCAGGACAGTTACGACAGATTTGAAAATGTCTTGAAGTGTAACCAGCAGAGACCGGCAAACACTAAAGTGAATGTGAGTGGCACACATATACAGCGAAATACAGGCAGGTGATCATGTGACAGGTGCAGGGACAAAGCGCTTTGTGGGAGGCCAGCAGCCCTCATGTTTAACCAGATAAATAGCTTTAAAAGCATGTCCAACACCTAACTGATCTCATGAGTTAACAATGAGCATTCCAGTAGGAGATTGACATTCACATGTAAACACGCAAGCAAACAGGCCGTACTGCAGTCATAAAACTTACTTTATGCCCAATCCACAGACATCACAAAGCTAACTATACCAGACTACATTAACTGGCAATTTAGGAAGGGTACAATTATTACACGTAAGCCAACCTGCTTACATTGACAGACAGTGTGCAAACCTATTAACAACCAAAAAAAAGAAAAAAAAATGTAAATACTGCTACATTTACAAAACCACTTAAGCTTAAAACTTTCCTCAGGCCTAAAGAGACCAAAATTTAAAGAATCCCTTTGTAGCACTCTGGAGAGACTGTCAGGCCGCTAACTACCACCAGGGGGCGCTAGCGTCATGCTCAGGCATCAGTTCAACACGTCCATCCACAATATGGCTTTCTGAGTTGACAAAGTGACAAAAAAAAAAAAAAACCGTCGATTTGCAAGCAGAGTGTACAAAGTGCATAGCAGTTTTACAAAAAAATGCATTTTATTTTATTTCTTGCAATAAATCATAAAATTTTTTTGTACAGAACTATTCAGTCAACAGAGCCAAGACATTTTCAGAAACACATTGCACACGTCCCATAGATTATAACCCCCCCCCCCTCCGCCCCCCCCAGCAGCCAGAAGATAATATTTTTCTTTTTTTCTTTTTTTTTTTTTAAGCATGCATTGGGAGGGCCACTCACGCCGACCCACAAAATGTGCAAGACATGATTTTGGGGAATCAGGAGAGACGGGGGAGCAGTTCAGCTTCCTAACCCTGAAGTCCTACAGCTCCCTGCGTCCGATTAAAAATGAAGAAAAAAAAAATTGGAGTGACTTTCATTTAAAAATCTTGAGGCCAAACCCATCACTCCAAAACAACCAGATTTCCACCAGGTGCTGACAGTGGTGAAGTGCAGAATAACACACATTTCCAATCCCGTGTGCTGCCTGTCGATTTCTCAGGATCGGGACAGAGTGACACGCACACGAACTTGACCGCATCCCAGGAGGCTCCCTGCTTCTCCGGAAGTGCTTCGGTCAGCGGGTGGCGCTGCTGAGCAGAGGGACGCCCGGAAGGAGGCGAACGAGTTTAAAACAAAGACCCAACAGCCAATCATGGGGCGGCAGTGGCTCCATCTCCAGGGGGCGGGGCCACATAACTGGCCCCACCTCCAGCTTACCGACACGTGCAGGACTCTGCGATCATGTCCTCGTACTCCTTGTAGGTGACCGTGCCGTTCTTCTCCATCATGAGCACGCTGATGGGCTTATATTTGTAGGGCACGCAGGAAGGAGGTGGCACCTCCTCGCCAGCCATCATCTCACTGATGAAATTCTGGATGATGGCGTGGTTGGGTGAGTTGTAGCCATAGTGCAGGATGCGGGGGCAGTCGCCCTGGCAGTAGTGGGGATTGTAGGCATGCGGGGCAATTATCCAGTGATCCCAACCCAGGTCCCGGAAGGTGACGCGATACGAGTGCAGTTTGCACTGGTTCTTAGGGGAGGCGCTCTTGCGCACGTAATTGGGAATGTCCAAGCCGATGCTGCCTGGTTCCTTGGACCTCCGGCGGCGGGGCCACACAGACGTGAAGGACGGGGAGACCTTGGTGGGGACAGCCCAGCCTTTGGGGGCCCCGTCCTCCTCCAGGTAGAGCAATAAGTCAGGAAGCCTCAGCAGGGCCCTGGAGGAGGAGATTCCAGGTTTGCCTCCCTGCCTCCCTCCTTCCATCTCCAGAGGCTCGAAGAGGCTGCCCTTCACACACCAGTACTGCATAGCCAGGGTCAGGCGGCTGCCTCTCCGCACGAGCACCTGTGGTGTGACATCCGTCTCGGCCCACTGGTCCAGAGGCCCGAGGACCACACTGCCCTCCAGGGGAACTCCTTGGTCAGACCCAGACTGAGACAAGATGCTGACCTCGCAGGCCACGGGCAGGCCCGATAAGGCAGAGGATCTCAGGTGGATGAAGGTGGCCTTCATCAGCCTCTCCTTGGGCAGGATCTTCAGCTCATAGTCCAGCCTGTATGTGTACTGCTGGTCTAGGATAAAACAGCACATGAACCACAGCTAGATGATTAAACACCCAGCAGTACGAATCAGTGCAACCCTCCACAAGCAGCCTATGCCACCTTAATCACTCAGTATTACAATTCGACAAAATCACTAACCTGAAATACTAGAAGCAATGGTGCTAGGGAGTTGGAACAAACACAAACAAGACCTGGTAAAATTTTAACGACTGATGACGATTCTAAACAAAGGGAAAAGAAAGTGGATGGAGTAACCCACCGAAGGAGCCGGAGGCGCGGCGCCTCTGCACGGCGTCTGGGCGGCTCGGCCGGATCAAGCGGACCGTGTTGCAGCCGAACGCTCGCGACTGCCGGGGTTTCCCGTCCTCGTCTGCGGCTCCCCGGTACAGACTCAGCATGAACTGCAAGCCCTGATCGGCGTGCTGCTCCTTCGTCAGCGCTTTGAAATTCAGATCAGCTCCATTAAGGGGCAGCGGGAACGCGTCGCCGAGCCCCGGCGGGGGCGGCTTGAAAGCGGATGGTTTCGGGAACAGGTACATCAGTGCTAAAAACCGGAAAAATGTGCAATTGCCGGCAGCCTTCATGTTTAACTTATGGAGCAAACACTTGCACCCAGGAAGGCTACCATCGTCCAAAACTCGTAAGGCCAGACATCGGCGTTCCACTGGCCACCCCAGGTATTGTATTTGACGGTGATGTTTTTTTTTTTTTTTTTTTACCTGTGACCCCAATTAACCCTCCACGTCCGACGCCGAATTACGCTTCATGACGCCGAAGGGATGGGGAAACCCCATACCTACCTATATACACCCGAGCACGGCTGTTCAGCCTTCGCTTAATGCTGCCGCGCCATTACAGGTCTATTTCAATACATATTTGCAGTTCCCATTTGGCATGCTCTTTATATATATCTTTGTTTCCTTTACATTTGTCGTGTGTGTTGGAAAGGACGGATGATGCACCCTATAAGAGTATACGTTCATTAACATGCATAAATATCTCCTGAACACGCATTTTTATAGCTTATATTTTTGTATAACCCTCCATTTGATGGAAAGACCGTCCGTTTCATTTAAGGTTGTTTACATGGAAAACGAATGAACGCTCTGATCTTACTGGCAGAGATCATTTTTTCTGTCCAATTACATAACACAGATATTTACAAAGTTAGACCCGTAAAAAAAGAAACAGATTTATTGAATGGTTTTAATTACCGCGACGGTTTATCTTGACGTGCACGTATTTGCTCTTGACATTTTAGTATGGTGAACTTAATAGAGGAATTTTCTACAAAGTCAAAATCGTTTTGAAGTTTGAATTAGTTTAATAAAGCAAAATTAAAAGTGAGCTGCAAGTCTATCAAAGGCTGAACTGCACTGTTGCTCTGATTCCTGTAATTATACAGAGGAGCCCTTAATCTCAGTCCGGTGTGTCCCAGGCCATTGGGCCAGTGTGCAGGGTACCTAGCTGAGACTAATGTCTGTGTGACAGAGGCTCATGCCTCCATGGGCGTTTATGGGAGAATGCTGGGAATGTCTGTTACTCTTCCAGTTGGGGGGGGGGGCACCTCCTTTAAACTGAATCTGTTTAGTGCTGTGCTGTTAGCAGTTACAGTACAATTCATTAAAATGCATTCAGTCGAGGGAATCGTTCGGACCCACATTGTTTATTACTATTTATTGATTTATTTAGCAGGTGCTTTTATCCTAAGGGACTTACAGCTGGGACAGCGGGGTCAGCCAGTCTCAAGGGGCAGTTGGTGGTTAGGGGCCTTGCTCAGGGGCCCAATGGTGACATCACTTGGCTGAACCTGGATTTGAGCTGGTGCAATCACAGCATTATGATATGATAGAGGGCATAGGTGTGTGTGCTTTTGGGATTAAAAGAAATGAATCCTTAAATTAAATGGCACAATCTGGAAAAGAAACGTATGTAAGGCGGCTGTGGATATTACCTGCAGCTGACATCATGCTTGTGTGGCTGATTTCCAGTAAGGAGCTGTGCGGTAGCAAACATGTAGACTGGCTGGAGATCTTCGAAGACCGGGTTAAGAAACACTGGTCCAACAACATCATAGATACAGATGCATCATTTGGCTCATTTGCACTATAGATATAGATGTAGAGATCCTAGACCAGGGGTGGGGAACCTGATCCATGGAGAGCTGTTGTGGGTTTTTGGGATGATCTCTCAGTCGTTGTCAATTCCAGTCCTAGGTACCCTCTGTTATTGGCTGATTGAGAGGCCGTCCCAAAAACCGGCTCCCACAGTGGCGTTTTGATGCGTTTTTTGTGGGAAAGCAGGTGCCGTTGTCCCCAAATGTGCTTCATGGCTTCGCTAAGCTCCGCTGCCATGCTGGCCGTCTCCTGCTTAGAGGACCTCTGGAATGCAGAGGTTTTCTGCTAAATCGAGTGCAGGGCTCTGCTCTGGCCAATGCATGCTACTCCATGTTATTCTCTGAAAAGCAAAATATTTGTATATTTTGATGACACACCCATGTTCTAGTAATCAGAGAGGTGTTCCGTCACATTGGTAGCGATGCGGAGACCAGAGGATTTATTTTTGGCCCCTAGGGAAGGAACAGCTAGAATGGTTATGGTTTTGTGATGCAGCTTATAGAACAAGGAGCACTCCAAGCTTTTTAGGAACTCACTCAGACTCACTCTGTGACTTTAAGAATTCTAGAAAATGCATGCGTGAATAGAATCATTGCCAGGATATCCCTCAGACCCACCAAATGGGCCATTATAATTGCTATTTTATTGCTTATCAGTCCTAGTCCAATAAATTGGCTTTCTGCATATGCTCCAAATATAATTAAAGCTAATTTTGGTATTTAGGCTATATGTGCCTTCTGTAACAATGATATGGCTGCACGGTATCATATCGCCATACGTGAAATATACACGAGTAATATTGCGATATTTACAAAACAAAAAGAGATGCAATTACCACAAATAAACTACAGCCAAACAGAACTTATTATCTTGGCCTGCTAATAAAGTGTGTCAGACAACAAACCAGTGCAAATAAATGCAATGTGATTAATGCGCATGCGCGATGACGCTGAACCGGTGTATCGTGCAGTATTAAACAATGACATCACTCGATGAAGTCAGGGAAGATATTCAGTTAGTTCACACATGAGTGTTTTTTTACGTTTTTATCTAGACAAGCTACTTATAGTTGTCATAAATGTCATTCCTAAGGAAGTGGCCTGGAGTTCTGGCCAGGACAAAACAGTTAATGTCAGTTTTAACCCAGAGATGTAATATGAGTTAGTCTCCAAAAAGATCGGCTGTTTGCCCTGATCTCTCTGCCGTGGCCATGCTTAGGCTCAATAAATATAACAAAAATAAAATATCTGGCACCAAAAGTTGGTTTTATTGTACGTAATATCTTTCTATTTCCAATATTCCAGTAATTGAGCTTTACATTGGCTACTAAAGTGTAGCTAGCATCTTAGTTGGCAAAAGCATGTCTATCGGGGTATAAGGGACTGGGTGGGGCCCCTTTACTCAGAGTCCCAGCTGGTTCAGTCAGCTGACCTCACAGTTTTTACAAGGTGGAGAAAGGAGCATAAATCACACATTAACAACATACAACATTGTCATTAAGTTAATATCTAGAAGTATTTCCTTTTATTTAGCGAATTCTAAAATGTTAATTGCAAAATAAGTTGGACCAATCAGGGATAATCAGTGCACGGAGCCAAAATAAAATTTCACAACATATCTATAGAGTTACAGGCTTCCTAAAAGAATGTTTTTTCTACTGAAAGACCATTTTTAACAGTGGGTTTATTTTACGTTGGATTATTACAATTAAAAACTCCTGCTCTGTTTAATCCAAATACGTAGCTGACTCTACTATTTTCAAATGCTTAAAATGACATGGTGATACATGTGATTATATATTTACATTTTACGTCATGTAGTATTACTATACAAAGACGATTGTTTATATTGTTATTAAGAAAGGCAGAGTATTTGCCAAACAAAAATCCAATACTGCACATGCAAACTGGTTATAGATGGTCGGCACGGCAGATGCATTCAGTTTAATTAATGCAGCACATTAATTTTCTCTCAAATATTTCCACTGCCAGGAAGGAGTCCGAGCAGTTATTTACTTAAGTCTGAGGAAAAGAGCGCCTGCATGCTCACTGTGTTGCGGTTGTATTGAAACTGAGTACAAACACACATTCATGTACACACATAAGCCTGCGTAGTGCGTATAGATACACGCACGCATATAGATACAAAGGAGTATCTAGGATCGCTAATGCAGATTTCTTATGGATAACTTTTCTTTACATGCAACCTCTCTTCCCCCCGAAAGAGCGCTTACTATTGGCGCCGAGGGCCTCTGGTTGCAGCGGACCTCAGATGGTGAAACAATGAAACTGATGCTGCAGCAGCGGCGTCCCCTCCCCCTTCCGCAATCCACATCGGACTTTTGAAGCTGACCCCCCCCCCCTCCTTTCCCTGCCACTCAAACTCCCCGGGAGTTACACTTCTTCCCTGTAAGAGAGTGCAGAGGTATTTCCCCCGTCCTCTCCCTCGTTGCTGTCCCGGGCGGGGGTGCCTGATGGAGACTTGGGACTGCGCAGCAGACCTCCATTGACTCCGGGACAGAGAGAATGGAAACGGTGGAGCAACTGGTGTCATTCCACCATATCCAGGTCCAGCTTCAGGGAGGCGCTCCTTGGGGCTTCACGCTGAAAGGGGGGCTGGAGCACGGAGAACCGCTCATTATCACCAAAGTAAGTTGCTGCCGTTTTTTGGTTCCCGTATCGGACGCCCGCCCGCATGTGTGGGATCCCGCTCTGATCGCAGCGATCGGGATCTTGGTGCAGATCAGAGCCAATGGGCTCTGCTGGATCGCCGGATCCCTTTAGCATCAAAGTTATAGACGGTTTGCCGGCCACAGCTTAACTTTAGGATGCATCGCGTTGATGAGAAACACGCATTTCCGTTCATTAACTAACTTTGCATACGGATAAGTCTGAAGTATCGGACGGCGTGTATTGAGTACATGTTTAGTATATTTACTGTGTCAGCTGCAAATGGAGACACTGGGACCTCTATGCCTCCCCGTTAGCAGGAGTTACTGTTCGGACCTGGCTTTTTTGGCTGCCATTGTCTCTAGATTTGTTAATGGCTTGTTTCCTTAAGTAAATGACCCCTATAATAGCTCAGTTCTGGAAATACCGTCTCACGCTTTCCACTTCAGAGTCCGTAGCGGTGCTAAAACATGCACCATTAACAATCTTTAAGATAATTAGTAATCGATTCTTATGCTCCTTCCACGGACTTGGTAGCGCTGTAACTACTTAAACTAAATTTTCCCCAAAATGTACAATTACCCAAAAAGTTTTTCGGGTTTCTAGCCATCGATTTCCCTCTGAAAAAAGGGTAAAAAATGTACCTTTGCTTGTCACCGGCACTGACTGTACCCTCAAGGGTCTGCAAATTGTACCATTAGCTGTAGGTAAATGTGCCTTTTAAGGTACAGAAATGGACTCTGAGGAACATTTCTGTACCATTGATGGTACGTTAATGCTGTTTGTACCTTTGGGATGTTCCTCAGAATCAATTTCTGTACTTTAAAAGGTACAATTACAAGGGTACAAGCAAAGGTACACATTTTTACCCTTTTTCCCTGAGATTGTTCAAAGAAGCCCATAACAGATTGGAGGTTGCCCTGTGTGATAAGACTTTCCTGAATTTTGGTTCCAATATATGATCTTTTCTTATGCATCAGGCAACGTGAATGGTTAACCCTTAGAACTGTAATGAAGTGAGCCGGCATTAAATGTGTTGAGCCATAAGATTTCTCCACAAAAGGCGTATTCGCTCTTCACATGGTGTTTTGACAACGATTTGGCAAAAGATGTTCAGTTTTTTGAAGCTGAATTTAAAAAGAAGTTCTTATTGA